TTAATCTAATAAATGTATTTATTAATTTATATATATATGAAATTTGATTATAATAAAATACATTAAAATAAGTTAAAAATATATACACATTTTTTTCAGCTTATTTTCTATTTTAATGTATTTTATTATAATTCAATTAATTTTATTAATTATTGTTTATTTATTTTTGTTGTAAGTGTGTTTTTTCACTTTGTTTTACATTAACGTACCCCAGTCATTACTCTTATTATTAACTGATTAATATGCTGCTGCTCATTGTCGGAAAAACTTGTGCCACTAAATGGTTTTGTGACAGTTCCTAAAATGCTAATAAAATATTTAAATATAAATATTATAATATTTTAAGCTGTGAGGAATACTAATGTCACCATGAGCCCGGTGAGGACTGAGCCCAGCCCCTGTGCTACCCTGTGATGTGATCTCATGCTGATGACACTAAGTGATGGGTCTGATCCATCCAGCTGTTCCCAACACACCAACAGGACACACTGATGTGGAGATGAGCGATGGGACAACAAAACGTCTGAAACAACCTGAGTTTCACTGTGTTTTTTCCCTCTCACACCAAACTGGGATCTGTCTGTGTTGATTCAAATGGAGCTGAAAAGAGATTTTACCGCGACTTCAGCGCTTTGCTGCTGCTGGATCTGGATCTGCAGCTGCGGTGAGTGAGACGGTGGGATGTGCTCAGTGATGGGATTTCAGTCATGCTGACTTTTAACTTGTACTGAAATTCGCTTTGTTGAGAAAACATAAAATAATAGTATATAGCTGATGTTCTTGTTATTTTCTTGTCAGGACTTTATCCTATAATTTGGGATGCGTCTGTGTGGTCCTCGGGAATATTACTCAAGCTTATCTCATATTTTTTTGCAATATATAGGAGCATTTTTTTTCTCCTGGGTGTATGGAATCATAGGGTGCACTAACATGATGGTACTTCTTATAATGATCTGTCACCTCATAGTGATTTTTAACATTTATTTTCCATTTATCAGACAAGACATTAAAGGAACAGTTCAGTTTTTTTTAAGTGGGCTTGTATTTACCAACGTTAGCAACACATTCTCACTAAGACCTTGTCACATGTCCACGTTTGGTCATGGGCTTTCCATGTCGAGATACAACATGCAAGGTACCCTGGGTGCGTTGTTGTCAACTTCAGCCTGTTATATGTTGTCTGTTTTCAAAATACACTTCTGTTTTTTTACAGGAAATGTGCAGTTTGCATACAGTCTCTTTCAAAATAAAAGCATTACATCCACAACACTGCGAATTGATGTGAATTTTCCTTCAACAATAAATGCACGTGGTTACGTTTTGACAATACAAACATGTGGTTAGGTTAACTTAACTTTTGTTCCTTGCTGTTGGTTGAAGTTATTGGGTTTTTTGTTTTTTGTTTTTTTTTTTTTTGTTAAAGATTATTTTTGTGAGCATTTGCCTTTAATGGATAGGACAGTGTGTAAAATGGGGAGACAGAGAGACAGAGAGAGAGAGAGAATACACACACACACCATTGGCAACTGGTAATAATAATAATTGACCCTATATTGACGTCTTACATTGCTTGGCTTCCATATTGGACTCCAGCCTGCTTCTCCAAACTAGGGGGCATGCCGCCTGACATTGACTGTATGTCATGTACTGTCTATGGATAAGTAGCCTGTATAATCCCACTTTAAAAAAAAAACAGAACTATCCCTTTAACATAAGCTGTCATCATCTCAAGGTGCAAATATGTGCAGAGACATGAAGATTTTTTTTTTTTTTTCAGCCTGATTTTCTGCATCACATCTTTGATCCACTGGCTGTGAGATGGAGCAGCAACTTTGTGGTGACTTTATAAGATCAGGGACATGACTATAATAATATAATTAAATTGTTTTTTTTTTTAAATCTCCTGTTGTATCACATATGAACTCTGACAATATTATAAAAATCCCTGTTTGGGGCAGAAATTCAGTTTGACATGGAACCTGGACATACCACACAATTATATTCAAAAATGACAATAAAAACAATCAAATGAAGCATGACACAAGATGAAAGCACTAAAAGAAACCCATTATTAGAATCGCATTATTATTCAGGACACAGTTCAGGAAGGACTCAGCAGCATGCAGGTTTGAGGTTTAACAAAGAGCGCGCTAACTAACTTAAAACCAGCTGGGATAATACGATGAACTCAGGTAAAAAAAATCCAAACAGAACACAAGACACCAGGCAGGGTACGACACGAAGAACACAGGGGTGAGCACAAATGAACTGGTATATCTACACAGAAAACTAATCTCAAGATATAGCTAGAGTAGGAAGACACAGGCAAAAGGAGTGAAATGTGGGGCGTTGGTGGCTTAGTGGGTAGAGCAGGCGCCCCATGTACAAGACTGTTGCCGCAGCGGCCCGGGTTCGACTCCAGACGATGGCCCTTTGCTGCATGTC